ATTTCTTTGGTGTCCCTGATTTATCTGTCAAAGCCTTTATGACTTTACATTTGGCTTTTATGTAGAACCAGAGCAGGTCATGTGGTTATCCAGAGGCATTAGTATGGTAATTTTCTTCAAGTTGAGTAGGTGGAAATAATTAATGGACTGCTTTATTGATGTACATAGATAACTGATTCTCTCTGTGGTCTCAATTCCCAGCTTCAATAAAGTAGCTTGAGATTTTATCTGAGGGATCAGTAATTACACAGGACAAGAATAATCACTGCATAAATACAATCTGATTGTGTTTTATAGTATGATGTTAAAGCTTAAACATATAAACAAGAATCTACCATATCAACAACCTGAATCCCTTTATTTAAACTCACAAACTCTAGAGTTCAGAAAATCTGTGCTCTTAAAATTCAAGTCACCCTCAGAGAGGGAGTCAGTCTTAATGCAGTGAACCACAGAAATAACTTTACTGTCTTGACTAAACTCCATCTATTATTGACAGTGACCAGTAGCAGGTACCTTGGGAAAAGTAAGAACCATAAAAATTGGATCATATTTGCTACTTTTTACCTCTAAGACTAATGAAGTGAGGATTTTGGCAATTCAGATCACTGTGGTATTCGTTCTAGAGTTCTGACCAACCATAATTAATTTGTCCCTTTTATTAATTTATACTAAAAGTATAAAAGTCTCATGGATGCAGACTGTTCATGCCCTTCCACACACACTGCAAACAGTGCCATTACACTTGCCCCAAGTCTGCTGTTCCTACAGAAGGGCATCCTTATCAGACACTGTTCACTCATTGCTTTTCTCTGGAGAGAGAGGCTTGTATTTATTTGGGCAAATCCTTGGTACTTATCACTAGGAGAACAGCATTCAATCCTTGCTTTATTGTTCTAGCTGCTATTATTTCACTGTTGTTATGCATAGGTTTGGTAAAAGCCATCAGAATCCCTCATTCTATTGTGTCATGCTGATACTAGAGCATCTCCATATATCTCAATATAAATTGTTCCCAGTAAATTGAAAAAAAGAGCAGCTGCAATAAGACACAGACTATGAATAAGGATGTCAGAGATTTTTGCATTGGTATAAAATAAGTAATTCCCCTTGCCTTCTCCCCACATGACAGACACACCCAAAAAATCTGTTGTCCACAGTATGCCATCATACAGAGGAAATAAACCTTGATTTTATGCAATTTTCTTTCTGTTATAAGAAGCTGGAAGACGTGACATCAATCAGCCAAAAACTTATCACCTTATGTCTATGTAACACATTTGCAACAAATCAGCTCTCAAGTGGTATAAATTTAGGGCAATTTACAGATGAAGGCAGAGATAACATGATCAGTATATACAGGAACTTTTGGCAGAGCAACCAGTAGCTAGAGAACCTTGTTAAAGGAGATTGTGAACTAGTATGTGGGCTGCATGCAAACTAGATTGTAAGAGCAGCTCCTGTATGGCACAGGAGCCAGGCTGCTCTCTAAAATGCTGCAGAAGTCCACACACAAAGATGCAGCACATTCCCACTCATACATGACTAGATTTTTATGGAAATAAAAGGAGATACAGTTTCACTAATTACTTAACCCCTAATACAACCTTGTCAGTTAGATAAGCTGGAATAATAAGATAATGAATATTTTTATATGTTTTCCTAAATTTATACACTAATTTCTACAGACCAAACAGTTAACTCAGCATTTGTGTTTAATTTAACCCTTAGTTTCCTATATGAAGCCTCTGGATTTTTCCATTATGGTTCTGAATACTTTTCTATTACTTTGAGCCTATAAGCAGCAGCACTTATTATTTTAATTAAATGGAATCAGACATTAATATTGCATAATATCCCCATCCACTAGTTAACTTGGGTGTGTAGCCTTAGGTCAGTCATCCTTAATTAACTTTCAGTTAAAGTATAAGCAAAGTCCTTCTGGGAAGTTTACTATTGCTGCATGGTTTTTTTGTCTACTATATGTACCAGAGCTACCAACAAGCACTTTCTGGAGAGATTCTTGAGCTTGAGCTTCCTAAGCATTTAGAATGAAATCAAAGATTGCAACACAGACTTACATGTCAGGCTCCACCTCCTTGACTTTCCATTGCTGGGCTGGTCTGACAGGCAATGCACAGAATGGGAGATTTCCCTGCCAAAAACCAGAAATAACATTAAAAATATCCCCTGATAGCACCTATTTCCTAGGGCAGCTGTTTTGGGACAATCCCAGTTACATCATAAATTCTTTAATATAAACTTGAAGATAATGGCTTGCCCTGTTTGGCATGACATATTGTTGCACTTGCCTTTTCTAGTTTGTTTATGTATATTTTTAAAGCTTGCTAAACCAATACCAGGGGTATACCCACAAAAATTATTTATTTGGGAATACTAGAAACCATTCAAGCTACAGATTTCCCTTTAATACTTTCCCTCTTGAACTTACAGCTCTACAGTTTCATCATTAATGTATTTTTTTTAAAATAACAACACTGGAGGGTTTATCAAGGGAAACCAGGATACCTCCATTAACCTAAATTTTATTTTAGACTTCTGCATAAAGAGGGTTTTTCCTCTCTGACAAAATCTGAAGTGAGATCCTATGCTATTTCTCTTAAGAAAAAGTACAAAACTTGAGAGCAAAAATAACTGAGTTGTTCTACAAAACATTACAGGAAAAAACTCACCAAGATCAGCTATTTTTCTGGGGCTACACTACTCAGAAGGTATTTTCCCTGTCTCCCCTCCAAAGAATAGCTTCCCAATAGGTTATCTACTACAAATGCATGGTTCAAATCCAACCAACGGTCCATGTAGCTCCCACTAGAGTAGCCAAAACCTGCAAGCAGAAGCAAGCATTCACACTACAAAATCTTGCACACAACAGCTTCATCAACAGCAAAACCAGTAAAGCTTTTTATACGCAGCTGGTGGGTTGTTTTTCAGCTCCACCCTCTGAGCAAATCACTTGCTCTCCTGCCCCTGGACTCAGCCACATGCTCCTTCCCCTGCACTGGGTTTGTACAGTTCATCACACACAACTCGTAGATTAGAAGAATGATTTGAGGCTCAGAGCTGAGGAAAACTTTTGACAAAATGTAAAAATAAAAAATAAATAATTTAAGCCAAATAAAGGCATCAAGATTCACACCTGTGAAATTCCCACCTGCTACACAAAACTACTTAATATTTCTGACAAAGTCAAAGTTTGATTATATACTCTAGACAAAGTGTGCAGACACAAATTTAAATGTGTCCTTTGTGTATCTTGTTGGCTGCTGTTTACTCATTTAATCAGAAATGTTTTCAGCATTCAAAGAGAAGCTCAGGTTGCTCTTGCCTGTAATTTGCAGATTAGATGCAATATGAACCTACAGCCTGCAGTTACCTGATGAGAAGCATTATATAGTTACATCAATTTTATTTTTTTTCCCAATCAGGGGCACAGAAAGTAACTCATCCTGTCAAAAATCAGGCATCCCTCCATGTTCCAAGCCTTTGCACACATGGCTAAGGAACTGTGCTTCTCTACCACCAGTTTATGGCTGTTCCAACAAGATTTTTATAGATCAAAATTTTGACTACATAAATGTTTGGGTGAATAAAACAGAAATTAGTAGAACCTGTTTAGAGAGCAAGCCTGTTCTCTGGGATCACAATGTGTGAGTTTCTCTTATAAAAATGCTGGCTTTTTTAAAGAATTCTGCTAAACATCAGTCTCTACAACTACCTGAAAGGTCATTGTAGAGAGGTTGGTGCTGGTCTCTTTTCACAGGTAATTAGTGACAAAACAAGAGGCAAGGGCTTCAAGCTGCAACAGGGCAGGTTTAGACTGGACCTTAGGAAAAAATTTTCACAGAAAGAGTGGTCAGACACTGGAACAGGCTGCCCAGGGAGGTGGTTGAGTCACCAACCCTAGATGTGTTTAAGGGTCGTTTGGATGTGGTGTTGGTGGATCTGGTTTAGGGGAGAACTTTGTAGAGAAGGGATGATGGTTGGACTGGGTGATCCCAAGGGACTTTTCCAGTCTGAATAGTTCTATGATTCTATGAACACTTTTGAAAAGTTGAGTTTCAATCCAACAATACATTTTATGTATCCAAAATTAGCATAATGAGTCACATTCCTATTGCTCAGTAAATATTCTATAATATTCACAGCAAAGGAGCCATTTATAATTGAACCTGGGATTATAACTTCAAGAGAGAAAAAAAACAAACCACCTTCTTTCCTGATACAAAAATACATGGAACGATATGTTTTGGTCTTTGTGTATGAAGTTTTGAATTTCAAGTCCTAGATGATTTACCTGTTTCAGTGAATGTATGTAGACAGAATGTCAGGTTTCATTGTCTGGCTGTCTGCCTTGCATGCATTTCTCTAGTCTTTACAGACTGTCCTTAAACTTGCACTTTTTTATATTTTGCAGTTCCCTCCTTTTGGGGTTTGGTGAACTCAGCTTGGAATCTTTGCTCTGTTGGGAAAAGACAGTCACCTGTCAATATTGAAACCAGCCATATGATTTTTGATCCCTTCTTAACTCCACTTCGGATAAACACAGGGGGAAGAAAGGTATGTGCACTATCATGTTCTGTTATATTAAAAACAAAAAAAACCCCAAACAAACAAACAAAACAGGTGATAGTAAACTTACAAACATTTGTTATATATTATATTTCTAAAACATTCACACTTTTATCTCAGTCAGCTCTGAGGCAGAATAGCAACAACACTGTGTTTGCAAATCAGTTTTATCACTGCTGAAGAGAGACCAACCATCAGTACTTAGGTGTCTACTAGCACATATTTATATTTTCATATTTACTGTTACTTGAAACTCTGCTGTCTGGAAGAATGGCATCTCACTTAGAGACTCCACATATGTAGTTTAATTTGATGTTCATCCTGAGTGGCATTTTAAACGTGCTATTCTTAAAAGTATTGTTTAAGATCCTGGGACCTTCTTTTATCAATGTAAATGAGGATAACACTGCAATGTCATCATATTGAGGAGCAGGAAGGGATAAATGATCTTCTTTATGTTCTGAAATAAAAGTAACTATGAGATACATATCTCAGCAGGGGACAGGCAGACAGGTGTATTCCAAAGGTAATTTAGTTTCTGTGTTATCTACAGCATATTGGCACTCCTAAGAAGGTTTTGGGGTTTTTTTATGGGACAGATGCTCAAATATATGAATTAGAAAACAAACTGGCAACATGTATTTTAGTAGATGATGAGTAAATCTCCAAGGATATTGAATGATATGGAAAAGATAGGTTAGCAAAGACTATCTTACTCATATAAAATCAGCATGATGATTTCATGTTGAAAAGTGACTGGCACAGCTGACTAATTTATCAACCTCTATTTCTGTACAAATCTTTTCTTGTTTACCCAGATTTGGAAAGTATATCTTAATAAGCTGAGGTCTGAAACAAGCATGATTCTGGGTTAAATGATTCATATACTTGTGTCTTAGGCACCTAGATTTCTGGGCTGGTCCTTGTAAATTAAAGGTGGAGACAGGAAACGATCTTGACAAAATGACACTGCAAATGGGTGATTATTCTTACTGATTTTTCTTTCACTCAAGACTGTATTCATAGTATGAAAGTATGAGGACAATCCTCAAATAACTAAGTTATCAGTGCTGTTTATCCAATTGGAGGGTTGATATTTTTCCATTCTAAAATTATTTTATAAATAAAGCACTCTTAGAAATAGTCACTAGTTCATAATGACTTTGTGTTGCTTCCCTCATATGGGTGTCCTCAAAGGGTATTTTAAAGATTTTGTTGCTTATTCCATGTGGGCAGATCTTTTATTCAATCTGTAAACAGAACAATGCAGCTGAAAAGGCATCATGGCTTAAAACATCAGAACAAGCAGAGACTCTAACAAAAGGTTATTATAAAATTATTTATCTTCTCCTGTTGTCTTGACAAATGGGATTTCTCCTGCAAACAGCATGAGATGCTAGAAATTTGCTCTGTACTTCCCATTTTGGTTCTGGTGGTACATGTGCACCTACATCTGTTTTAAAGAGATTTCTGAAGTGGTTGAATCAAAATCCTCCTTTGAGAAAAAGACTGCAATTTTAATGCCTTAAAAAAATTTCTTTGCTCACAGTTAAGGCTTCAGTGAGGATTTGATTTGGCAGGTAGTATATTTGTGTTCACTTTTTTAGTAGTGTTTTTTTATATGTTAAAAACAGAGGTGTGTTTCATCTGGGCAGAAGCACTTCAGTTTTCAGGGCAATGAACCAAATGATACAGCAGCCAGGGAATTTCTTAGACAAGACTTAACTGTGATTATGCTATACACAAAAGGATTTTATGGAACTGATCCTGAGAAAAATGATGAATAAATAAAAATAGATTTTATATGGTTCTAAATCAAAGTTATAATAAGCCAGCTTACATGCATAGTGAACAAGAGAGAAAGCTACTTGTGCACAGAGTCAAAATTATACACCTCTTTTGAAAAGGGAGCTGAGAGGAAAGTCAAGCCTTGATAGAGGATGAGATGAAAGGAAACATTCAGTACAGCTAGTCCTGGAACAGTACATTCAAATTTCTAACAAAACTTTTTGTTATTAAAGTAGAAATCAGTTTTATTTGAGTTTGGATTCTGAAAACAGTATTTCTACTTTCTGTGCTTCACTTTTGAAAGTAACTTAAGAAGGTACAGAAGAGGTTCACCCACAGGAACAGAATCCAAGACCAGTCTACAGAAATTCAAATAATAGATACATGGGTGATACAATCCCAGACTTAATACTTCCTCTTAACTCCCTTATTCCTTACTACTCATTTCTCTTATTTTGGAGGGTGGGAAGCTGCTTATTTTCTGTAAACCAGTTACTCATTTAGTTCTCAATTTCCACATCAGCAGACCAAAACTTTTCTAAACCATCCCATTACATAATTTATGACTATGGATTCTACCTTAAGTGCATACCTTTCTAGCTGACTCCATTAGAGAGTTTATTTCAGTGTTAGTAATGGAAGGCATTTTAGTACACTAGATTGAGATTTTCCTACAACTATTTAGACCACCTGGGAATTAAAATAAATAATTTTCTTGTTCTTAAAGAAGAGGAAAGATCTGAAAGGAGATTGTGAAAGAAGAAAGGACAGCATCACTGTCTTCCTACCCTGTAGCCTACAAGGGGAGAAAAATACCATCTGTAGCCTGTTAGACAGCAGGTGACTTAACAGTTACTTCTAACGTGAGGCTGAGAAGAAATGTCTTCCCAATTTGCCAAATATTTATACCTCTGATGATATATTGCTTTATATGCTGTCCAACAATTGCAGTGTGGTATCAGGTCATGGGATTCACAATGCAAGTAGCATCAGATATCACTCTGAATTGTGCTTTGTTATTTTGTATATGCTTCTCTGTTTCCTGAGAAATTGGCTTTTGAGGTCCTGAATGTTGATTATCATTGATATAGATAATTGGATTTCAAGAATTTCAGCAAAAGATATTTAATGAGTTTACATGCAGACAAATTCCCCAGAAGAAATTCTGCTTTTGAGGAAACTCCCCAAGTTTCACTTCTCTCTCAGGCCCAGCTTTGTCTCTTGATTATCCGTATTAGTGAATTTAACATGCAGCTCAATCCAGATAAACAGTCCTTTATAATAAACAATACAAACTCTTATTAAAATGCAAATCACAGCTCTCCACTCTGTCACAAAGAAAAACATTGGTTTACTTTCTCTGCTCTTTTTCCTTGGATTCACATAAGCACCAAGGCAATCAGCAACAGGACAAGGGAATAACTTCCCTGACAACCAGTGTAGTCTAGTGACATTCAGGCAGGAAGCACTATGGGTTCCAGCTCCAGAGCAGGGAATCCAGACTGCCATGGGTGGTAGCAGTGTGTGAACAAACCACCTCACTTCCCACTGAGCTAGTCCTCTGCTGCCATTTATTTCCCCATTCACCTCTGCTGGCAGGCTCTACCTTTATTCCCTCCAGATTTGTCTCCTGACCTGTCTGTAGCCCATCATTAATAACAGCACTAAGTACATCCCTTCCAATTAATTAAACCTTGTCACATGACGCAGTGTGTTATAATCATTTTAGGTCATGCTCAAGAACTTAAATTCTGGCTTAAAGGTGGTAAAGATCTGTTTCAAATCACTTTATTTCAAGAGAAGGAAGGGCATTGTACCTGATGTTGATGTCTAGAGAAATAAATCAATTTCTCCAGGTCAAGGGCTGTTACATACATTCTCTAGCTCAGTGCGCATAAATGCAAGATCCATAAGTCTGCCTTTTCATATGGGACATTAATGAATGCAATCACGTATTGTTTACATTAATATCTTTATAAATAATTTGTTCATTCTATGCATCACAAGATAATGGTGATATTTAGCAGTTTCTAAACCAAAATAAGATAGGCGAAGAGAGATTTATGAATTCAAATCAGTTAAATGGTTTCTCTGCCAGCTAGTTCTGATTCCATGCTGCTCAATCAATTCAGAGTATTACTAGCATTTTTCTCAAGAGTACAATATATGACTACTGCCAAGCTTTGCTTTGGTGATTACTAAAAGGACAGATACTGGTGTGAACCATATTTCAGCACTGCAGGAATATAAAAAATGAATTGTTAGAAATGGCCCAGGAGGAATGGATAGCAATAAGACATCAGTGTCATCTGTAAACTGATTTGTGATGAATTTTTAGAGGGCTTAACAATATAATGTTTTGATTTGGAGTGACTTTAGACAGTCAAAATCTGATGCAAGCATCAAAAACTTTAATGAATAAAAAATGAAATATAGTATTGCTGCTTAAATAATTGTTTAGCATTTCTAATGCTGCTACAGTTTTACGTGTTCTCAGATGTGTTATTAAGTGAACATAAAATGAAACCAGTGGGTTAAAGTAACTTGTTTATTCATCCTCATCATTGACTTTAAAGCCAAAAAAAATGCTAAGTATTATTTCAGAGGAACTGCAGAGCAAACTTTGCTCTTAGGAGACCATAAAGAGGGGAAAACATATTCGCCTCCTAGATCTTTCTCCATACTGGGTCTTCTCTTTCCATATCACTTCAGTGATGCTTTCTTCAGATTGAATCAGTTTGGAATATCTGGGGACTCAGATGTACACCTTGGTGTGTTCTGTGTTTCTGGTTGTCTGTGGAAATGAAGCACCACTGAAATCATGAAGAAGTCCTGCATGGGCACAGGAATTCCTTTCTACTGCTTCCTCATACTATAAAGGTGTTTTTGCTCCAGTATAACTACACTGCTTGACTCTTAATCTTGTCTAGTGACAGAAAACAAGCTCACTGGTCTGCCATGGGAAACTTTCTTGTTTTCAGTTCCTAATGATAGAGCAACAAAAAAAGATTGGAGCAACAACCTCCCTCCAACTACTGAATAGTCTGATACATTCAAAGTACCAGCTTTGCTCTTAATGCCCTTTTTTCTGTCTTCTAAACATGCATCGTGTTTGATAGCAATAGCGTCTTTTTTGGATTTATTTCATCCTGCACTTAAGTCTATTTATAAACCTAGATATTTATCTCAAGACTTGCAGA